GACAGCAGGACGAATGCAGGACAGAGAGTCTGAGCACAACCGAATGACCGAGAGTCAAGAAAATTTGTGAAAATTGAAAATAGCTTTTAGCTCGATCGATCATCACACTAAGAGAGGGCACCAGATTCACGTCGCTTGAACAAGACCCGTTTCGACGGCGTCAAACATGCTTGAGACTCTCTTCTATAAAAAGCTTCGGTTTTAGGGCAAGGTTCGCGCTATGAATATGACTGTCGTCATGAGATGTCAAAAAAAGCCTTCAACTAGAGATAACACTTCCAAAGACAAAGCCATTCTCATCTGGGAGGCCAAGGACACTTTGTTGGTACCAACTGAAGATGACACCAGCGACGGTGTCTTGTGATCAAGAATGAGCAAGTGGAAAATAGCTTAATTATTATACTAACTAACCAAGTAACTAAAGCATTGGTATGCCATGGAACTGCTGATTCGTAACTATAAAGCAGTGAAATGAACGATATTCATTACTTGGTTTATGAAGGCAGGAAATTCCAGCTAAAACTGGTCTCATCAAAACAGGAGTTTTCGCGTGTGTATATTTAAAGTACAGATTTCCCATCGTTGCTTTGAATCTTTCTCACGTTCTGAATTTACTTGAGACTGTTGCTACTGATCACCGCTTTCACTGCTTTGCAACAATGGGTAACATGAAGTGATTTATGGCATGCAATTATTTACTTTGGCAACGATGTCCATATTCGATTCCATAACATCTCTGTATCAATGGAACTAGTGACCACATCAGCAAAAATGAAAACGTTCTCCAAAATATCCTGAAGTGTAACACAAAGATGACCGTTATATGTGTGTATGTGAATCTCGGTCAAAAAATCAGCATTTTTCTACTCCGTTGTTTCAAGCTGACATTTTGAATATTCAACCACGGCTCAGGTAGCAGCAGACCTTCCTCCAGCTCTGCAAACCGTTGCCGAAATGATGAAAGGTCGATTTGGAGACAAAGTGTCAGAGTTTCGCAGGAGGCATTCGCTCCTTGTTCCCTCATGGATGTAATGGCTCTATCCTATGACCGAGGAAAGGGAATCCGTGACTAAACTAAAATCCTTCGACTTATGCTTACGAAATGCTTCACGTACGCAATGTGTTGCTCATTCACTCAACGTCACTGAAGACAAAACCGATGCTCCAGCATGTGGGAATCCCCAAGAGGAAGCCGTCTTATTCAAATTACTTGAATGCTACATTGTTTCCAACGCACAGTTTGAATACGGAACTACGGCTCAAATATCATCAGCAGGTAAGGCTTTTCTCCAGCTCTGAAGACCACAACAAGTTCCATCGAAGACAGGTCTGATGAAGAAGTTTCCGAGTTTAGAAATAAGATATCTGCTGTACGTTCTCTATGAAAGTGAGACCATGATCCTGATATTCAAAAACTAAGGAATGCAAAATCCGTCAGCAAATGTGCTGAGGAAGCATTTCACGGACACGAGGTATCAATCATGTGAAACTAACGCAACTATGTACTGTTTCGAGAGAACAGCGAGTCATTTACTTTGATCCACTGTTGAGACTCCAGCTAAATATCCATTTCTGTGAACTATCGATGGCAGTAGGGGTGGCCATGTTGATGTTGAAGTCATCGCTTGGTTGAAACTGTATGGATAATAAGGGTGAGAAAAAAACTGGCTAAACTGATTGAAAGACAATGCTGGTGATCAATTCAGGTGGAGACTGGGCGTCAATGGTGCAGGCTAAAGCAGTGATATTATTAGTTTAAACAGGAACAACAGCAGCCACTCTTGCAGTGGCCCTGAAGATTAGATAGCTTCTTAAGTTTCCTGAAAGTCTTATATAATTTGTTATGATTAGGGTACTCATTTTTCTGTACGTTCATTAATCACGTTACCATAGCCTTCACAATTTACTAGAGGTCCATTGTACCGGGGAAATGAAATGCTAAGCCGTGGTGCTAACAATCGACTAATATCAGGAAGAAAGCTTTCGTTTAAGGCGTTGCTAGATAGATCTGTCATTTAACGAGAAATAAACTGTTAGCCACAAGATTCATTTGTTCTGCAATGCCATATTCAAATATAAGGTTGGTGGAACTGACTGTAAACTCTGTTGGGTCCATTTACAACACTGTACCTTTTAAGAGGCAAACTGTCCCCTCTTGGGTGAGTCATTGATAAGCCATTATGATGGTTTGCAAGCAGTTTGGAAAGCGTCTACATTTCTAGTGCAAATAGACGAATGATCTAAAGGTGGGGACCTCATCCATTCTAGACCCTCTTGATCATGAGGTCGAACAGCAATGTCGAAACGCGCATGTCATAAACGTGACGATTATGACGCATATGAGAGCTTCAGGCAAACCATTTCATACATTCTAATTCCTGAACTGGGATGTACGATTCGCGGAATTAACCGAAGCCGTCATATTAATAATATAACAAAATGACAATGCTATACTGTATGTATGAATTTGACCTAACTTTAAAATCTTTTCAAAGTAGCCATAAAAGATCGCGTTGACAAGCAAAAGAATGGATTGTGTAGTTTTCAGAGATATACCATCAGCATTAGATACTGCTTCAAATCGTCCATCTGGCTCATTGGACTTTGTCCAATGTTTGCAGATTTGTGTCTGCCATTGAAGGATCATCTTCGAACGGTGATTCTAGGTATCGTATTCTTTTGGTTCAAGTCCATATCTGCTCGTGAGTGGCAAAAAAATCAAGCTCTAGATAACACGACGTAGTTAGAAAGGACCTGTGATTGAGCATCTAAATTTGGTGGATTGAGCGATGGGAGGAGCTAAGGTAACAACAGGGTGTACTGCCTTTCTTGAATTGATATTAGAACTTGTTATCGACATTGGGCGGGGACAAGTGCATTTCAAACTCTGCCATATTTCTTCACAGATTTGATTATCAAGTGCTTATGAGGAAATTTAACCTAGAAATTTCAATTCTTTTTCTTCTGGCGGTACTATTCTATGCAGATTTCATACTGCATCTGGACTGGTAACCGTCTTATTATTGAAATTTCGTGCATTTATTCTATACTGCGATTTCAATTAAGGAAGTTCTAAGAATGAATAAAGCTGTATGGTGGCTGGACACCAGCGTTTTGTTTTCAAATCCGGTAATCTCCGCGATGTTTATCGTGCAAGCACCTGCGAAAACATGACTACAGCTGCCCATATTTCCGGAATAATCGAACATCCCCTCGTCAGAAAGAAGTCCAGGCAGATCCGTGAATGCCAGTTGCCCTCTGCTTTCATGTTCGTCAGTACCGGACATAGCAGTTATGCAGCAACCGAACCGGGGTATTCTTTAAATAAAGTAGTTATGCAATTTCCAGCTGTAAAGCTCTCAATGAAATTACGGATACGCCGCTGATTGTCAACTGAACTTAATCATGAAACAGTTGTGCATTTATACGTTCAATAAATAGATCGTTTCTGCCGATAAATCGTTCTTATTTCAGAAATGTATTCATACTTTCCTACGAACGTTGAAGTTTTGAGAGAAGTTGGACGGTTTGGGGGGAGGATTCTTCTTGATTTACCGAACGGAAGAAGTACTTATTTACTGGTAAGTTTTCATTCATTCCATTTTCTTGAATGTTGGGATTGTGTAGATAAGACAATACCCTAGCTTTGTTTGAACTTCCCATCAATTATTTCATTTCCATTTCTAACTTGTTTTGATCCATTTCTAACTTGCTCGGTGTCGTCCAAGGCCCGGCATAGTAATTCATTATGAAATTAACAAATAAGCAATAAACGTGGATTATACGAAAGAATATTTCAAGTGTTGCTGCCATTTTATTATTTTATTCAAAATTACTCCCTGCTTGAGATTGTTTAGCCTCGAATAAGCGCGCTGCTCGAGCGTACTGCATACTGTACTTACAAAATTTGGCATCCTCATACAGTTGGAAGTGGCCGCTTAGCTGTCGAAACAAGTATCTTAACAGTTGACCCTTGGTTGAGTCGCTTGTGCTCTGCTGACTCAAGTATCTTGCGAGAGTTACAGGTGTTTACGTAAGTCCTCTTCCTAATTACGATAACGGAGTTCATGTTAGTTCCTGTGAATATATTTTCACCGTTTCGCAGATTATTATTAGCTAAACTTATTACTGGTTACAATATGGTTTAATTAATTTGTGATAATAAGCAATTAAAATGGACAAAACGGCAAGAAGCCGCAACAAGTCAAACAAAAGAAAAATAGGACATTTTGGAAATAAGAGACACTGGTAAAAGAGAAGCGATGTTGCGAAAGAATTACATATTGCTCCCTTCGACATAATCTACCGTTTTGAACGATCGTAGAAAGATTGAAAATATGACTAAAAGGATAGCATTGAAATTTCAAAGAAAGAAGATTTGAAACGGTTTGCATGATGACATCGATAAAGTTGTTGTTTCTTGATTTACCAGATGTTCGGTCAAGAAATATCCCTACTAGCGACCCAATAATATGTGAAGAGGTATTACATTTTTAAAGACTTTTAGGGAACGATGGTTTTCAGGCAAGTGTTTGATG